TTTAATATATATGTATATGTTATGTGGTCCTCCATCTCGTATTAAACACAGTAATGCTATAACAATGCATTCTTTCCTATTTAAAAATCCATCTGGATTTTTGCCTTTTATTGATTTAACATAATTTCTAATGTTTTATAATGATTATTTAAGTATCCCATGCATTTTTCTAATTAACATTACAGGGTTTTCAATGTTTTTTATGTCGAATTCTTCAGCAGCACCAGTGTAGTAGGCAATTCACTCCCACGTTATCAAATAAATGCTCAAGGTACAGCTTATAATGTTGAAAAATAGAAAAATAAATTGACCTTGATGAAGTGTGTCTTCTTTTGTCTGTTCCCAGGAAAGTTTATTTCAGGTATTTCTACTGCTGAAATGATTAGAGTTAACAGCTTTTTCCCTCCATTTTATTTTACAGGGTCTCTTCATCTTCCTGATATATGGGGTGTACAACACAGAGGTAAGTCTGCTTAGAGTATCTCAAGGCTGACAGAGTGAATGAGAGAAATGACAGGTTTCTTATCTTGATAACTGAGGGACAAAGTTGGCTTTCCATATGAGTGTCCTACTGCCCTTCATGCTTGGACTGGCTTATATGCATCCCAGCTTACCATTAAACACATACACCCTGAATAAAGGGACAGACTCATTTCTCATAGACATTGACTAATATTTTACTGCTGCTTTAAGTTTTTGAATTCCTGGTCTTTCTTTTTAACACTTCGCTATACCTGACAGTCTTACAAACTCTCCCCCCTCCCCCAAAATCAGGTTACAGTTTATATGCACTAAACTTTCTCCTATTGTTTAAAAGGGAAGCAGAGTGGCATTGTAATGAAGTCTATGAAGTAATAGCACTGAACAGCATGTAAATTCATCAGAATGCATTATACCCTATAGTATTATCTTCTGAATATACTATAGACTTCTTTTGACTCTTTCAGTGTTTACGGAATATAGCAGATAGCCTTGTGGAAGTTAATCTGATCATCTTTGTTTTTAGATAAGAGTGTAATAAGATGTATCTTCAATCTTTCCCCACTAATCAGTTGTGGGGGTTACTTTTGATACCCCTGGGATTTCTGAGAGGTTTGCACACATTCAACATATGTTACAAACTTGTCTTTGTAATCAAAGTTGAAACATTTCTAATTTTTAAAAAGGAACCCAGTAATTTATTCAGCTGCAGATTGCAAAAGGAATAGGAAAAAACTGCCTCTATAATGCTGATCCTAGCCATGATTACCTGAAATAAAATTACTCATTTTAAAGTACCATTCGACTTAGAATTAATAGGTTCATTCACTTACTTGCAGACGGCATTGCAACCTTAATTTTTCATGTTACGTAATTTTTCACCCTGAGAATATTTGTGTGCAGTAAGTGTGCTTAAAATTCTGAATCTGGTTTTATTTAATTCTGGAACATTATCAGGTACGCTGAATGTCAACAAATACAATTACGATGTCATTTATTTAACCAGGCTACTTCATTCCTGGAATAAATACATTCAAAAATAATAATTTTCTCACCTGCTTCAAGTGGAATACACTTGCATAATTTCTCTGATGAACATAGTCTGATACAATTTGTATGTCTGAGTGCAAAATATGACTGTGGATTTTATTTTTATATAAGCTCTCATGGACCAATACAGCTTCCTTTATTTTAATATATGTATTACTTTTAGCTACCAGAATGGTAATAAGGAACACAAACTTAGTTCTGTGGACTAAATTTTAATGTTATTAATTTTGAAAGAAGCCAGTGCAAAAAAGCTTTTCAGTGAATGCTACAAGCAGAAACGTTGCAGTGAGAGGGACTACAGTAAGAGGTAATGTGGTGTACATACATGTGCACATTTGTGTGCATATAAATAAATACAAATTCCCAGTGTGATGTAGTGGATGGAGTGGCAGACTAGGACTCTGGAGAACCAGATTTGCATCCCTGCTTAGCCATGGAAAATGACTGGGGAAGTAGAACTGGTAAAACCACTCCTTAAATATCTTACTTATCCTGAAAACCTTATTAGAGTTGCTATAAGTCGGTTCTGAGTTGACGGCACAACACACACACATAAATCAATGCAGAAGAGCCAGAACATAACATGAGTGGCCTAATACATTTAAAAGCCGCCTAGAGTGGTCGCAAGACCAGATGGGCGGGCTATAAATGAAATAAATAAATAAATAAAAATAAATAAAAGCTATTTAATTTTAATATCACATTCTATTTTATAGTATTAAAAGTAAGAGGATAGTGCTTGTTAATTATTCCATCAGCTTTGTGCTCAATTGCTAGACAACCAGAAGAAAGTATCAGGTGTAGCAAAAGAAACTGCACAGAATTGTCCCTTTGCTTTTCTTTATATGTTGACAAGCAGAAATGTGAGACAAGAATGAACACTGAACATTTGAGGATGGACTCACAGTATACTAGAGGATACCAGGTGTCCTTGTCATTACGGTCGTAGATAGGCTAATGTAAACAAACATAGCAATAAAATATTATCTGAGTATAATGGACATTATACATGCAAAGATTTGAATCATCAAATTTGACACATTATAACGTATACAATGAAGCCAGTATTATGTAATTTATTTTATCTGCATTTGTCTTTAAAAGGTTCAAGACTGGGAAACAAAAGCAAGTCAGTTATGCTTCAGTGCAGAAGTGATTACAACAGTATATCTAACTTCATGGGTAATAACAAAAGATATTATTTAACAAAAAAAATCTATAATGAAAGGTACCTCTACTCATATTGTATGGATATTAAGATTTGTTTAAAACAAATACAGTTATTTCTTAATGTGATAAATATTTGACTCCTTAAAACTGATGGGCTTGATGATGTGGGCCATGGTTTACACAGAAGCCAATGACAAGCTTATTGGTCCTTAAGGTGCTACAAAACTCCCACCCCCACCCCCTTCCTGGAAGAGACTAGCACAACTGCTTCCTTGAAAATTAGCTTCATGTAGTTTGGAGAAGACGAGAAACTTGTCTACCAAGCAATAGTGTCGAATTGCTCTTGCTCCCCGATGAAGCATGTTCCAGCTTGAAATACATTAAGAATTGGTACCTTTCAATAAATATCATGGATGCTCTCAGAACATTTTCTTTGTAACTTTACCCAAGTTTACAGAAATTGTAGCTGAAGTTTTAATTTGACCTGTGAAGAAAGATAGACACTTGTATTATTTACAACCAATCTGGCTGCTCTCCATCAGTTGTATAGGAATGAAGAATTGGCACCCTGAAGCTGTGTTTACAGAGAACCCCATCATACCACACCCTCTGGACTGTTGCCAGAATAACTTTTTTCCCCCAATTGCAAAGCCAGCTGAGAATATAGTGCACAAAGAAGGTATTGCTCATATTCTACTGTGCTACAACATTTGCGGTATGAAGGCATCTGGCAACTTTTATTGTGTGGGGTTCCACTGTCAGGAGTATGTCAGGAGTATGCCATGCTGTCCTCGCCTGTCTCCAAACGAAAGGCTGCGGATGCGTACTTTTTGTGCATGTGAGTGCATGTCTAATTTTTAGTTCTCACATTTTACAAACAGGCATCTTTATATGGAGTGAACAATAAAGTGCAGCTTGCGAGCGTAAATGGCTGGGGAGCTTGAACAGAAATCTCCAAAGGGGGTAGCCATGTTTGTTGTAGCAGAAACAGGGTCCTGTGGACCTTCAGGGCTAGCGAATTTATTACACCAGAAGCTTTGATGGACGAGATTCCTTAGCTGAACCACCAGCAGCTCCAGAACTCACGGGGCTTAAAACCCTCCCTGATTATCCTGTCTTGAACAAGTTTTAGGAGGGAGGGGAATTTCGCAACTTCTATTGTTAATTTGATCTATTGCTCAAGACTGGCCATACAGTCAGGAATCATTTCCCGGTATCCAGCTTGAAATCACTGGCATTTATACCACTGTTTAGCAACGTAAACGCCGTCAGTCACCGACGTCGGGAAATTCGCTACTTAGGAAATGCACATTTCACAATTTCTCTCTCTCTAAATCCCCTGAGTGTGTGTTCGCGCCGCTCTTTTCAGTCGGCGGCGAATTTTGCTATATAATAGGTGCTCTGCATTACAGCTTCTGTTCCACCAAGCATGGCTGGGAATGGCAGCGGCTTCGACGCCTGGACAACAACTGTTCGTGTCTGCTGCGTTTCCCTCCAACTCGCCTACATGCAGCCAGAGGCTCCGGTGGCCCCTTGAAGTCCCGCTAATTGGGTCCATGAAACCTACACCAAATTTGCTCGTCTCGAAGGTGCTACGGCAGCTTTTGCTTGCAAAGGGCGACCACGGTGGAAGAAGCCTCATGCAGACTCATTAAAAAAAATTATCTTCCCTATCAGTTGCCTGTGTCCCTTCGCGTCCGCAACGGAAGGGCACCCGTGTTCATCCCCAGTGGGTCCCATTCATCTCTCTTAAGGGCACCACCAGTATCGCCACCACACACACACACCCTAAAACCAGCCAGGAGAGACACGGGTCCCCCTGCGCCAATGGTGAAGTCATCTGGGTGAAGGAGCGAGGCGACGGTGGTCCTCCACCCCCCCGCGCGCGCCTGCGCCTTCCCATCTCCCCCCAAACGTCGCCGCTGCCTTCCTGACGGGGGCAATCTTTCCCAGCATGCCGCGCGTGGCGCATGTGCAGTGCGGGCCTTCCAGGGGGCTCTGCTAATTCCATTGTGGGAGCGGAGACGGCGATATATTTTTTTTTTAACTGGAGGAGGCGGCGGCCGTCGTCGTCGTCGCCCTAAGGGGA